TGCCATAGGATTAACAGTAGCAAATATCTGTCTGGGGATAGGAAAACACCTCTTATCAACAGGGTGCCTGAATGAAACGTAATTGTACACCTAACCCTTAACTGTACCCCACAAAACCATAATAAAAAATATTAATAAAAAAAGAAAGAAAAAAGAAAAATTGATAATGCCTGACATCAAAGGTATAAATTCTGACTTATTCTTTTTGATGCTTTTCATTATAATTTATGATAACACATATGGGCACACTAAAATAGGTTATGCATAATGGTTGTCATTTTCTCTTTCTGTGTGTCTGATCTCTTAAAATAAGGGAATATTAACAAAGGCTATATGTATATATTTTTTCTCTAAAATATCTAGACATTTTATGTTCATTAATTTTTAATGATGTCGCTTGTTTTATTAGTTTTTGTGTTAGAAATAAAATTTTTATTTTTTACCTGTGATGGAATTTTGAATTCTGGGCAATCATTTAGTAAGAAGCTACAGTATTCGATAGAGTTCTGTTCTCAGATTTGAGGAAAAAAATCTAACTACAATCCCTTTGCTAGATCAGGATTTAAAAGCAAAGAACTGAGTACCACATGTTCTCACTCATAAGTGGACCTTGAGTAATTATCATAATACTATAAGAAAGGGATTGGCAGTAGTGGAAAACTGCCAGGGGAGGGGGGAGGAGCACATCAACAAAAGTACCTGTGTAATGACCATTTGTATATCTGACCCTGAATTGTATCCCACATTTAAAAAATAAATAAATAAATAAATGCCTTCAAACCAAAAAAAAAAAAGAAATTATGCCGAGGTTTGATGAATTAAAAAAAATAAATTCAAACTTCAAGAGCATTTTGTTTTGTTTATAAAATTCAACCTTAAACAATGAAAAATTAGAGATCAAATGACTCTTATACACATTATGGACACGAGTCAGTAGAATGTTTCTTTTCATCTTGGACACCATGTGTAACAACCCAGCAGGACTGCTATTGCAATCGTTGGTCCTCAGACATCTTCATGGTTCAGGGCGGGCAGAGCAGAGTATGACTAATACAAGGCAGAAATATATACCTTACAGCTACTGCCAGAGATCTCCTTAATAGGGGCCATTTGACCCTAATCACTGTGTCACTCATTTGTCATTTCGTCGTATATTTTCTGGATGTTTCTCTTTTTTTTGAATTTTAAATTAAGTGTTATATTATCATTTAATTGTCTTTTCACTCCTCTAAAGACCTGACAATGTCTTATAATTGTGGATCTCCCATAGTCCCAAGACAGGACATCATATTATTTGGTTTTCTTCCTTTGATGTGAAAGAGCAGTGCTCAGTGTTCTTTTAACAATTTTTTTGCAAGTGGAATTGTAAAAGTAAACACTGCTTGTATTCCATTTGTTTAAAAGTTCTTAGCTTTTCCAAATACAGGCAGTATCTAAATTGTAAATGAGCCTTTTCCAAAAGTTATTTTGTATATTGATTTTTTTGGAACCCTGTAAAAATAATATACATATTGGTTATGTTTCCAAATCAAACTGCACAAGAGCTATTATTCAGCCCACGTGTGAAGTAAAACGATCCCTTAAACCACCATAAAACCAAATGTTCACATATAACATGGGAAAGAACAGATGTGCAGATGTATGTATTTCCCACCCCCACGACCAAGGCTGGCCACCCACCCCACTGTGATCCAGACAAGTAGACTTCCCTTTCTAGGCTTCCAGTTTGGGTTCTGGATCTAGCTTCTACCAGAATAGATGAAGGGGACAAGGAGGAATTGAATTTTTGGGCCCCAAATCAACAAGTGTACTCTTGCTTGATGGAATTGAAGGTGACAGAGGTGACCAGGGGGAATTATGGTGGCCTCTTGGGTACTTCCATGTGTTGTTGTGGGGAGTGTCTTCAAGGTGTTGTTGGCTTCCTTCTGTTCTTTTTCCTTGCTCCTTTGTTGCTGCTGAAGGGAAGGGAAGGCAGATATTCGGCTGTGGGGTCCTTATAGCTACAAGATGGAGTTGCCTCCCATCCCTTTGATATCTGTGATAGATGATGATTGGGTGTGGAGGAGTGAGGGTAGGGTGGGGTGCGGTGGGGTGGGAGCTCTGACTAGGGAGTGGCCTAACCGAGATAGAAGGAAAGGACTTCTTCCTGCAAACCTCCCTACTCCCACATCCCCAAGTTTGAAGTCATGGAATGGGAGGAAGAAATGCATTTCAGGGATTGATTTGGAAACAGGAAATCCTAAACATCTGCATGTTGGTAGCAGCAAGAAGAAATAAAAGAAGATGAGAAAATATTGACAAAGGAGGGGAGTAATATATAAAGAACAGATCTATTTAAGACACACTTTGCCTGTAAATTAAAGGCAAAACCCACGCTAAGGCCCTCAACACCATCGTCTAATTATATAGATGCCATTTGATTTTTTTTTAAAAGGTATGTTTTAAAACTTAAATGATGAAATCCTGCCAGGCACAGTGGCTCACACTTGTTACCCCAGCACTTTGGGAGGCCAAGATGAGAAGTCTGCCTGAGCTCAGGAGTTCAAGACTAGTCTAGCCAACATAGCAAGACCTCGTCTCTATAAAAAAATCAAAAAATTAGTTGGCTGTGGTGGCACCTGCCTGTAGTCTCAGCTGCTTGGGAGCCTGAGGTGGAAGGATTGCCTGAGCCCTGAAGATTGAGGCTGTGGTGAGCCATAGTTGGGTGACAGAGTAAAACCTCAACTCAAAACAAGAATATGAATAAGAATAAACTTAAAGAATATAAGGTGCGGATGTGGAATTTTCTGTGGGTGACTCCAGTTTGTATAGGTCGGTTTTGTCATCTGGTTAATGTAGGGGGTCTTGGCGAATCTTCAGTCCCTCTCTGGGAAAAGGAACTGATGGAGAGGCAAGCCTGCCCAGGCTCTGCTCCTCTCTCATTCACTTCCCTCTCATCATTTCCCTTTGGGCAATCCATGTCCCACACAAGGGAGGTGGATGTGTGGAAACTGGGCTTGCCTACAGACGTCCAGGAAATGTGAAAGCAGTGATGGTGGTAGGAGTCGTGCAGAGATAGGAGGAGAGCTGGGTCCAAGCAGGCCTGCCACAATCCCAAGACGAGAACCCCTGAGCCACCAAGTGTGCACCCTAAGGTGGAAGAGGCAGTCAGAAAGGAAAAGGGCTGATTCCCCTCAGAACTGTCACCTATTATGCTATTTCAAGAATCTGTGATTGGTGAACTTTGCCAGCCTGTACTAAAATAAGCAAATATACTGTCCCAGGCATATATTTTATCTTTCACTCTCTTCTACAAGTACAGTTTGATTTTTTTAAAAAGGTATGTTTTAAAACTTAAATGATGAAATCCTGCTTTTGGAATTAGGAACGTATTAATAAAAAGCAAATAATATCTGGAATACAAACATGCAAAGTAAAAATTTGACAAATGGATTCCTAATATCATTTCTTTTACTCAATCCTCTCTGAAGTAAAATAAAATATTTCATTACTAGGAGTCAAAGAAAAACAATCCAGATGATTCACAAAAATTAAGGGTGGATTACTTAAAGCAGCTCCTAATGGAAACCCAGGTTTTAACAATAAACATTTAAATTTTGTTCCAGTTTTCTTCTGAGTATATTATATTATGGGACTCCTCCCTCACAATGAAACATGATCATGCCAGAAGTAAAATATTACCTTCTTTCTGGGCTTCCATTTCCTTATTTAACTTTAGTGGCATAGTCAAGAACAAGTGAAAGGAGAAATTCTAAAATGTCCCAGCTCCAGTTATTTAAAAAAAAAAAATCGAAGCCAACTGTTTTTGGACGTGAGGGGAGGAAGTCTGGAAAGGGCCCTACTCAGCTGAGGTCAAGCCAACAGTGAAGCTACAAAATCCAAAGGAATAGGCTTAACTCAAGTCCCTTCCCCTGCAAAAAACGAAGCAGGTGTTAGAGGATGGACTATTTGGTTAGGAAGGAGACCAGGATGATGAAGCCTTCTCTGGTTAGAGAGGAAATTTGGTATTAAGAGGGCCTCACCGAATCCCAATAATAACCAAACAACTGGTGTTGTCCAGGGCACCGGGTGCAAAGTGGGAGGCAGGAAGTAGGAAGGCTCAAGCTCCTTTCTCCGGGTCAGTTCAAGAATTTAATTTCAGCAAATGTTTATTGTGGCACGGTGTTAAGCACGGGGTTAATAAACTGAATAAAAACCCAGCCTGATCCTTGAAGGGCTCACCGTTCGGTGAGATGGCTTTCACATTCCTCGTGGGCTGTGATGCCTTTTATCCCGGGAGTTGTCACGGGAGAGTTGCCTCTAAATCCATCTACGCCTTCCCAAAGATTTCAAAACAGAGAACACGAGATACGGGACGGGGGTGGAGGCGAGATGACGGTCGGGACTGGTGCCAGACCCGGGAGCCGCCAGACGCCGGGCTGCGGTGGTGCTGCCTGCTGGAGAGGGGCGGCCAAGCCCGTCCCCCGCACTGGCACCCTCGGGCTTGGCTC